ATTTTCATTGTAACAGACTTGAGAGTTGGGACGAAAGCCTCGTGGCTTATCCACTTGTTCTTTATCCATTCATCTGAGGATCACAGAAATGTTCAAAATGGCCTCAAGGAGGCGCCAATCGCGCTACAGGCAAAGAGAATCACCTGTTCTCAGTAATCCGGACCCGGCCAAATCCACCGCTAAAATCTTCTCTCACCGGTACTCCTCTAAGCGTGGCCACGAAATGCCACCCATGCAAAACGATAACGAAATCCTCCCCATCGATGATGCTGACAAGGCGGAGTTGCTTAGTGCACTATTTGCAAGATACCTTATTAGTGAGTACGACCCAGTCCATTCCTTTCAGCTACTTTCAGAGAGGACACTGAGTACAATCGATGTCTCTTCAGATCTAATTATGAAACACATAATAATAGTAACAAAAATAATAATTGTATTGAGTGCCAGTTTACAGGCGTTGTCAGGGAAGCGTTAAACACAAATCCGGCCAGCAGTGAAAAAACTCCTGTCAAAAAGGAATAAAAATATAGTTGATGGTGTTTTTTATAGCTTAAAGGGTTCAGGAGAAAAAAGACTGCTGCGCATGAAATGCCGACGGTCAAGGAAGGGAGAGGTAGCACTGTATCAGTGGTCATTTCTTCATGAGGTTGCGGCTGGTCCAAACAGAAAAGCCGAAGAACAGCTGCCGCTGTTGGCCAAAGAAATTGTCCCTGGTGAGACCGGCCATAGAAATCACAGACCACGAACGCCATCGCTACGGTAAAGTCGATCAGCGGATTCAGCGCCCAAAATTTGTGGGAGTTTTTCTGAATGTAAAAATCGAACAATAGTTCTCCTAAACAAAGGATAATTTTGCAGGGGTTTCACATTCATAGGTAGTTTATTCCAAATAGCGATTGCATTTGCAGAAAAGAACCGACGATATTTAACAGTACGTGCAAGAGGAAGAAATTAAAAGAACTCACGATGACACTTACGTCGGGGGTGGACAAGATGTCTTAAAGTAGGGAGTTGGTTAAAAGCACGGCTGTTTAAGGGCTTAAACAGTAAAATATTCTCTTTCACAATCTACGAAACCATAAAGGTTAAGGTCTGTAAACTGACAACGCTCTTGATAAAACAAATGTCGGTGTTCCGGGGTTAAAACTCTCTTGGTAGAAAAGTGTTGAACGGATTCTATTTTATTCCGCTCAGCAGCACGCATGAGGCTAAATAAAAAAGAACAGTACCCAGGCCAGGTCGAACGTACATTTTATAAAGGTGCATTCTAATATCGCTGGTTTTAAAGTTTCGAAGGATAAACCGGTCATTCTACGTGCTTTGGAGACTATTAGGGTGCAGTGCTCCGAAAGATTGAGACTCTTGGAGTAGGATACACCCAGATCCTTAATAACCCAGACACATTTATGTCGTGACCGTCAATACTTAGCTGAGGTTGGCGGTCGTCGCCAACCACCTTGACTGAGCGTTTATGCCAAGATAAAGAAAGGCGCCAGGTGCGGCACCACTGAGCAAAGGCCTGCAGGTCGCTCTTTAGGAGATCAAGCACAAGGTCACGATCTGCCGGCTTATCTCGATATGCAACTGTCAGATCAACGGCATACATGAAGGGCTTATCATTCTGAAATAAATCCGGTACGTCATTAACAAAAAGGCAAAATAAAAGCAGGCCGAGCACATTACCCTGAATGACTCCACTCCTCATACATGTGGGGTTGGAGATAGCATTGCAAATCTTAACTCGTTGTGTGCAAGCGCCCAGGTAAGAGGATATAAAATTCCTATTCCGAAAGAGGACAGTTTTAAGAGAAGAAGAGCATGGCCGACACGATCAAAAGTCTTAATAAAATCGAAATATACTGTGTAAAGTGCAAAACCATTGTCCCTAGATTTTTATCAGTTTATTTGGTAAGGATAATAGGCAAAGCCTTTGAAAACCCTATTGATTACATGTCAGCTCGTTAGAAATAACTGTACACGAACAAAAATATCCACCAATAAAACAGTACTTGATTCATTTGAGTAGCATTGTCTCAGAGAAAATATTTGTGGGGACGTGAGGTCTTAGTTCAGATTCGGACTGTCGAGGGAAAACAGGGGACACAAATAATCATCCAAGCGTTTCTTGAAGAGTTGCAGAGACGTAGCCTCCACGACTGACTGAGGGAGATAGTTTCATTTCTCCGATACAGACACGTTGTTTCCGACCAACCAGAAACGCCCTAATCCAGTTCAGAAGCTCTCCCCGGATGCCGATGGCACTCAGTTTATGAAGAAGACGTTGTTGCGGGACAGTGTCAAAAGCTTTGCGGAAATCGATGTACACGACATGGATCTCGAAACCCTCTTCTAGAGCC